GCCTTGAACGAACTGCACTTGTCTTTGGTAGAAGCATGAGAGAGATTAGGATGCGCAAGCAAAAGCAAGATCGCAAGAAGACAGACAAAGGAAGAGAGATGTGTAAGGAAGAGGACGCAAAGTCAAGAAGAAATGCTACCCTCGGAGCATGATTAATGATCAGCTGAGTGACGAACCGTGAACCGTCAAGGTGCCTCGCATCACACATGAACAGCTTAAGCAACTCATCAGATTGTCGAGCTCAACCCGAATGGGCGCAAGGTAAGAAAGACAAAAAGTGCCAACGACCAAGGCTGTAATGGTGAGACGTCGCTGCCCGCCCTCCACCGTACTGAGATCCTAGACGAGTCGCACAAAACTCGTAGTGGCAGATCTCTAGCCATTTATTGCTTGATATTAATCCTGTCAGTGCCCCACCGTGCATCCCTGTGACCATCGCGATGTTTGGTGGAGCATAGTCGCAGTAATATGAGTTGAGAGAATACTGCTGTCTCATACTCAACTGGGGCCAGATTGTGCGAGACGCCTTTCGAACACTAACTGAGAGCTGAGTGTTACTTAACGAAGGAGGCGAGCAAAGCGACCGGAAAGGAAAGCGGCGCGTTTCTCGACCTCTAAATCATATCAAAGTACCGTACCCCCAGCAATGCACCCTCCCACCCGAAATCCCAAATGGTATCACAAGCCACACCCAAAACACCATCGCTAACCCAGACCCTCTACCCGTCCCTCAACCTCCCTCCTCCCTTCCCCACCTCTCCCCTCACCTCCCTCCCCCAACCCTTTCGCACCCCTAGTCATAGTGAACATGCGTAGGACACCCCCCCCTCTCGCCCCCCTTCGCAACCTTCGCCTCCCACCACCCCCTAATACAACCCCGATGAAATTTACACAAACACTCCATCCTCCCCATAGCCTCTCCGGGCTGGAAGTCCTCCATGCAAATCACACACTCCACCGCTTCACCGCTGGAATCGAGACAATCTTTTTCCGTGGCTGTGTACAAAGCCATGCCGCGGGGGCGGAAAGATTGCGCGCGAGCTCGGGGGGGCGGGGATGTTGATGTTGTGTGGGTGGTTGAGGGTAAGGAGCCGGAGGGCACGATACTGGTATTGGAGTAGGAGCGGGAGTGGGTGGGAGGGACTTCGGTGGCGGGGCTGGGGTAAGCTAGCGGCACCTCCTCCCTCCTCCCTCCAGGCAGGACAGATGGTCGTCTAGGCATCGAAGAGCTGGACGGCGTAGACGAGAATCTCGCCGCAATACACTTCTCCACATGCCTCTCTCTCACTTGCTCACCAGGCGGTAATTCCATCCCGCACACCGGACATTCGTCTTCTTCCCTCACCTCCCTTCTAGGTCTCGGGACAGGCTGTGAGGGAGGCGGAGCGGAAGGAGTGGTTGTGATAGACGGGCGACTCGCGGGGAAAGCCGGGACAGGCGGTAGAGAGGCTGCGGTCCCGGATGTGTTGGATGTATGTGTATGTGTGTGTGTTGTTCGGGTGGGGTGTGGGCTGTTGTGGGAAAGCGAGTAGCGGTGGCTTATCGGCCTGCTATGCTCCGCAGGTGAAGGTCGTAATCGTGGGTCCGTGGTAGTAGCGACGGCTTGGCGATAGCGTTCGCCTCTGGAGACTGTAGGTAAATTTGGCGGGAGAGCTTGCTGTGGTGCTGTGGCCGTAGCTGGTTGGTGGGAAAGACTTCGGTGTCTCACCGCACCAACTCCTTCCTGAGTGCCGAACGCAGAAGTAGAAGCAGGAGGAGGCATATTCCTATTAAACCCAGCCCTCATGACATCCATAGCAGTAAGCACCGGCACACCCCCACCCCCCGAAGAAGAAGAAGAAGCATTCCTAGCCCCCTCAATCAACGGCCTAGCCCTCAAACCCGCACCCTCCTCCCCCCCAACACCTCCTCCACCTCTCACATTGGCGTTCTCAGGTGTCCACGGATCCGGAACACAAGGATTACACACCCTAACCACCTCGCCCCCAAAAACCCCCCTTCCACTATCCATCCCATCTACACCATCATCACTATGTGAATACGTGTTCACCGGCGGCTGCACAACATACTGCCTCGGAATCGTGATCCTGTGCGGGGAGCACGTAGCGCAAACCACGCGTCCACACTTCCTACAATGATGTCTGCGGTTCCAGAACCCGAAATCTATTCCGCAGACTGGACAGGCGAGGGCGGAGGCATCGGACTGCCATTTTGGGAGTAAGATCTCGGATTCTCGGCTGCTTCTTCGGGGGCGTTGGCGGGGGTCGCTGGGGTGGCGGTGCGGGTGTGGTGGGGGTGGGCGAGGGGGGGATGTGAGGTCTATGGCTGTTTCGGGGTTGGAACCGGGTGTGCTCATACTCATGTTGGGGAGGAGGCGGGGGTCGTTGGTTCTGGGCGGGAGGGTGTGGGAGGTGGAGTTGGGGTAGGGATGTGGACGGGCGTGGTGTTCGGTGCTGTTGTTGCGGCGTTTGCGATCGGAGGAGGTCGAGCTGGAGCGTAGTGGTTGTTGTTGGGGTTGGGGGACTGTGTTGCCTGCTGTCTGGACTTTTATTAGAAGAGTAGATTCTGGAGGTGGGTATAGCTTACTTGTAAGTACTGCAACCAGTCGAGATCGTCTGCGTCGTCTGGTGGTGGTGTGCCAGCTGCTAGCGGGGGAGGGCGGGACATGCTCGTGTGATCACGGATGCGTATGGGCTGACAAACTGGGTTGCCGCTGGTGGGCGATAGGGTGGAACAATTCTACTGTTTTCTAAAGATGTGTATGTATGAAGACTGGTGGCAAGTGAAGGGATGAAGCGGAGGATGTGTTGTACCAGCCTTGCTTGCTGTCGTGTTCTATCTAGAGACATCGCGGCACCGTTGCAGCCGCTTCGCCTTCTTGCCGCCGGACCGGAAGCAAATCGCTCGGCAGTCGAGAAGGAAGGAGGTACATGTGCTTTATTTGTTGCGAGAAATTCGACCTATACAGTACTATTCGGTCGTATTCCTCCGTAGAATCACAAGCATCAAGTTTCCATGTCCATGTCGCCTTTAGATAGCATATCGATGAATGACTAAGCAGATCACATGCTAGCGCCATCTCGTTATCGGCAGCGCGAGCCGAAAGACACAAGATCGCGTTACTCTTCACCTTCACGCGACGAAAACACACCTCCATTGCCTCACCCAACATTCACCACTACAAAATGTCTGACCCAAGGCTTCGTCGCGCCGCTCCCCCTCCACCACCACCGCCCCCTCCTCCAAACGAGCCCGATATACCAATGGCCCAGCTAGACGGCGCAATGGACGACAAAATGCCAGCTCCGACACAAATCAATGGCGCACCCGCCCAACATCCAGGCGAAGCAACCAATACAGACACCAGCTTCAAATTAAAATTCTGCACAGTCTGCGCCTCAAACAACAACCGCAGCATGGAAGCGCACCTCCGCCTCACCACCCCCACCCCCTCCACCTCCCAATCCAACCCACACCACACGCCGACAAGCTACCCCACCATCTCCTTCGGCACAGGCTCCCTCGTCCGCCTCCCGGGACCCTCGATAACCCAACCCAACGTCTATAATTTCAACACAACCTCTTATTCAGACATGTACGAGGAGTTGAAGAGTAAAGACGCGGCGCTGTATGGCCGAAACGGGATCCTGCCGATGTTGGAGCGGAATAAGGGGGTTAAGTGGGGACCGGAACGGTGGCAGGATTGGGCTGTGGGGGTTCCGAGGGTGGGGAAGAGGAAACGGGGGGAGGTGGAGGGTGCGGAGTACGGGCGTGATAAGGGCGCTCAGGGGACGGAGGCAGGGACCGTCGATATCGTGATAACCTGCGAAGAACGATGCTGGGATGCTGTGGTTGATGATCTTTTGACTCGAGGTTCACCTCTCAACCGACCGGTGCATGTTTTTAATATTGATATTAAGGATAATCATGAGGAGGCGTTGGTGGGTGGGAAAGCGATTCTGGAGCTGGCTGATGAGCTTAATGCTGCGGCTAGAGAGGCGAGGGCGACACATGTTAAGGGTGGTGGGATGGGAGGGGTCAATGGGTTTGATCAGGGGGTGGCGGGGGCTAGGCAAGGGTTTGATGAGAGGGTGCCCGAGATTCTGGCGGCGTGGCAGGAGAGGTGGCCGGGGTTGCCGGCGTTGTGGACTTTGGCGTGGTTTTGAGGGGTGTGATTAAGTTGTGTTGCGAGATTTACTGTGGATGTGAGAGGGTTAAATGATAAGCGTGGCGTAGCGATGGGTGCCGCGGAATAGTATGCGAGGGATGGGATGGCTAGCGAAGATGGTATGATACCCTGCCAGAGGCAATGACAATACAAATGGCATAGTTTCGAGATCTGAACCACACAACAAGACAGCGAGACCATGGCACTTCCCTCGCAGGCCTAGATCACTGACACGCGCAATCTCAGGATCCAGGGTGAAGGACGTGTCAATTTGCTGCCTAACTTTCATCCGTGTGTCGTCGAGGCATCCCCAGCATCTGCAGAATGGCTAGGATCACGCTTTCGGGGCTAGCAGACAGTAGTGTCACGGGCACACGCTCACCACGAGCGCTTTTTTCCTGCCGTGCTGTCGCCCCCCGTGCTAGGCATGGCTCGCTCGGTTGAGACGACGGCACTTCCCCTTCCAGGATCGCCGAACTGCCTTCGCCGCCCGAGTACTAACATGATTTCAGCATCAACGGGCGGCATGACTTCTGATCGATGATGGCTACTCCGACGTCAGCTTCAGCCAGAGCGACCCACCAGCTTAAGCCCTGCGGACCTAAACCTCATCTTTGTTGACCTGATGTTGAGGGCGTACTACGAGCATGTCGTTGCCGACAAGTGCGAAAACGGTATCCGCAACGGTAACATACATCCAGACATGTATCGAGTCCAGTGTCGCAAAAGCTGACTCTACCTATTCATCTCGGGCGCTGCTTTGGTCGGCCTGACCACGGCTTTCTTTTGGCGTGGACATAACTCAAGCTCGAAATATATGATCAAGTCACTTGGGGGAGTGGTCTCAATGGTTAAGATACTACGCAACTCTCGCCTGTAGAGCGCCTAAGTGCGAACAGTGTGTGTAGGCCTAAGTGCCGATCGGAGGCCTAAGTGCCATCGCGTTAGTGATACTGGTTCGAATCCGGTCTCTTCCACTTTTTACTCCTCATGGACTTGTAGCCGCATTCGCTACCTTGCTGCCCCGAGCCAGGAGGACGATCTTCGATTCTAGATACCATCCTGCTTCTTAGGCGCTGTTTTGGTCGGCCAAACCACGGCTTGATTTGGCATGGCTACAAGTAAAGCTTGGAACATGTCTTCTACAATCAAGACACTTGGGGGAGTGGTCTCAATGGTTAAGATACTACGCGGAGAACGCCAAAGTGCGACAGTGTGCGGAGAGCAAAGGCTCAGAAGGCCAAAGTGCCATGCGACATTGTGTAGAGCAAAGGCTCAGGGCAAAGGCCCACCGCGTTGTGATACTGGTTCAAGTCCGGTCTCTTCCACTTTTTACTCCTCAGCGACTCACTTTTGCGTCGGGTCGGTCGGCGGATGGCGTGTATGCTGACGACGGAGTAGCGCCAAGGAAGAAGTACCAAGGACAACGTGTTGCAGCCAGTCCACATCAATGGAAAAGGTTGAGTGCAGTCAGTCTGGTGGAAGGCGACAGGTAGCACCAGGCGCAGCTGGAAGCCTGTCGGCGTGCGCGGAATCCGAAGGCTTGAACGCTAGGCACAAAGTGGTCCGCCAAGCCGCCAGTCCAGCCAATAGCGTCAAAGTGACTCATTTTGAGTGAATGCGATGCCATTGTTGAGGCTCATCGTCACTGACAAGCAAATCTATATAGGAAACCTAGGTAGAACGTACCTTGTACCTACAACACCTTCAAGACCACCAAAGCCCTCGACCACAGCAACCTCGGAACACCACCACAAGACTTCTCGCGACAGTTCAAACTGATGCTACCGAACACCGACACTGACACGACAACCACAAATACCTCGACGAGCATGCCTTCGAACTATCTCAACATGCCGGCTTCAAGCTCGTCATCGTTGCCTCTCGATCGCGAAGCGGACGGGCCTGACAATCCAGATACTCGCTTTGAAGAGGACGCGGTTGCGGAGATCGACGAGCTCGAAACCACTTCAGAGCCCTCCTTGGAGGCAGAGAGTTCCGACGAACTACCAAGATCAGTCGACCAGGACGCACGCACTCTCTACTCAAGCACATCAACACCCTCCGCACGATTACTACCCGACACAGATACCACCACCGATCGATCAACCGACTCAGCAATGGTACCACCCTCCACCCAACCAGCTCGCTCCCACCCACCAAGCCTCAGCAAGCGAGCAATGAAGCAAGGCGAAGCTCTAGACAGACATCTCTCCTCTCTCCGCGCTTCCGATCGCGCAAACCTCTCACATCTGCCACCAGCCCAGCAGCGAGCTTTACTGCTCTCTCAGCTGGGCCAGCTGGAGAATGCGAAGAGAGCTGAAAATCATCAGCGAGGGAATTTGGAGAGTAAAGGGAATTTGTTTGGGTGCCAGCGGAAGACGTTCCTGGTCAGGGTGCCGCCGCATTTCGGGAATGTCAGGAGTTTGAAGCATTGAGAGCTGGTTGTGCGCAAGAGAGACTTCATATATGAGAGGCTGCCGAAGTGGAAAGGAGCTTCCATCCTACCGATCATCGTCAACCTGAGACCGGTTATCACTAAGCTACTAGCCAAGTACTCGGTTATACCTGGTCCTAAGAATGGTACGTCCTCAAGGGATGTCGGTGGAGTAGATGCAAGCAGTTCGAGAGGATCTGCTGGGTGACAACGAGTCCGAGGTGGTGACAAAGGGGAAACTGACGGCTATGAGTGGAGAAGCTAGACCGTCGCGAATGACTGATAGGCGGCATCCAGCAGCTTGCGTATGGTGGAATTAGCCAGAATGTCCTTTCGTCAGATCGATGAGCTCCTCCGCAAGTGCGACGCATTAAGTGTCAAGTCAGTATGTTTTGGGATGTTGTGCTTGGCACGCTACACTATACTTACTCTAATCCCTGTGCGACCGGATAGTTCTCGTAATGCGGAGACTAATAGTGCTACATGTAAATAGTGCTACAGTACATTAGAGAACTGCTCGCAACCTGGGATGATTGGAGTGGTTCGTGCGGGAGCCCGCCTCAGCACAGACAGCATGTGTTGCTCGAGATCTCGCCACTGACTGTGAATGCTCTTTCCAGAATCTTGTGCGCGTGCACGGGGCACCTGGCCTTTGTACTGGCTCCAGGAGAACTTTATTTAGGTGCCAAGTCGCTACACCACCTTGGCGATGAACGCCAGAAGTATTCACACCTAAGACCAGCCAGTATTGATATCTCATGATGCTCGCCGGACGTGAGCAGGCTGACCATCCCCAACAGAACCCGTCTTCTTCCAGCAGCCATGCCATCAACTACCATTCTCCTCCTGCCACTGTTCGTCCTCAGCGCAACCGCACAGTGTGCCACCTCGGGATACGAGCTCTGCGTCGTACCAGGCTCTCAAGACTCCGTCGATTCTTCAACGCTCGACCTAAGCGATATCTCCGCAGCGAGTGATGCCCAAGACCTCATGGCGAACATCGGCTTGTCGGCTAATTCCGCTGCGGAATCAGCAGTACGCCGTGCACTGGCGCGGGAAGTACTGGCGAAGCGTCAGGACTTGACCGCCCTCTGTTGCTTGCCTGCGCCCGTCGAGTGTATGTATATGGACGACGTGGCCTTCTGCTATGTGAGTGCTTTTTATGAGTCAACCAATGGATATATATGGAGCTGATATCATGATTAGACTCCAGGGACGACACGCTCGGACTTTCCAGGCGGCTCCTATGCGTTCGAGAGCAACGGCACTTTCTACGGCGCCGACGGTAGTTTCATCGACTATAAGAACGGTGTTTACCAGTATCCTAACGGAACGACGGAGAGCTTTACGCCGGAGGAGGATTCGGAGACAGAGACAGACTCGTCGTCCGGTGAACCGAGCACATACTCGATCTCGAATCGCAACAGCGATTCGATAGTGTCCGCTACATCGGGTACCTCTTCGCCGGGATCGAGCACCTCATCGCCAGCAGCGAACAGCTACTCACAAGCATCGACCAGAGCATCGACCAGCGCTCCCGCGACCGCAGCTTCCGCTTCCAGCTCGGCAGTAGCCTCTACTGTGTCGTCCGGAATCTCGACGAACAAAGCGTTTCTTGGCAAGGCACTTTTCGGTGCTGTTGGTGTGATAGTCCTGCTAGGATGGAATTAATGGAGATGTGATTGTACCACCATGTGCACTGCTTTTGCTGCGAGGGCATTGGATATCGTTAATGTCGCTTTTGCAGCAAAGCCAAAGCCTAGCTGTCTCAATTCCTGGACTCGATGTGCAGGCTGGTGTTCTGCACTTGAAAGCCCAAGTGTTCTTCAGGCAAGTAATGCGGGAGAGTGGTGGCCTTCAGGTCTCTCGGTGCCATGCAGCTGTATGTGTAGCGCATGGCTTCCTTTAGTCGCCGATCATATTGTTATCTTCTGCTTCTCGCAAGGTCGTATCGTGAGATTGCGGCACCCCAACTACTGCACATATCGTCTTGTGGATGGTCATGAGACGATATCGCTATTACCGTAGTGTAGTGCCGAGGGACGTGATGGGCGCATGGCTACACGAGAAATTCGAGAAGTCTTGGAAAAGCACTGCGCACACAATGGCTGAATTTGACAGCATGAGCACTGTGTTGGAAGCCGGTCTGCTCTGTCCTGTGATGCTGACGGTGTTGCAAGTCAAGCAGGAGAAGTGAATCCGTGTAGGTGCAGTCCCTGGAAGTTATCCGTTCTTCGACGTTCTTCAGTGTCCACGAGGTGGAAGGCTGCTCTCCGGGTCGATGTTGTTACCTGCTAGGTCTGCCATGGTGAGATGGCAGTTCGGTGAACAACAAGCTCATCTCGCATCGGTCTTATTACCGCAAGGCGTCCTTCCACGGACACCTTCTGCTCTCCGGATCCGTACGAAATTCGTAACGAGCCTTTCATCAGCTGCTATGAATCCAGCCCTCAAAATCGACTTCAACCACTGTATTTCCTGACGGCGGTCAGCAGCCACTGCGTACCTTCGTGCTACCGAAACTGGGCCAACGTGAGCAATGACGAACGACATGGACCGTTCCTTGCTTTGTGGTCATGGCGTGCTTTCCTTTTTTCGCAAGAAGTCTACCAAGTCCTCGCTACGATCCAACGGACCGTCACGATCAACCACAGACCACCGCATCTTCTCTCTTCCAAGGCATGTCGTCGGTCTCGGTTCTGTCTTCCGAACTGCGCCTCACTCACTTCAGCCACCGCCGCAGCGTCATTGCGGGGTATCCCGTGCCTGCAGATCAGCCTTGGCAGGTACGAAACCTTGCATGTGAACATGCAGCTTCCTTGGATTACGCAGGTTCCCATCAACAAACACGTCCACGTGCACACAAGAGCGTCGTCATCGTGGCTAGCAGGCAGGAACCAAGGACTACGTGAGGCAGTCAAGGCAGTATATGAAGAAGTTCGCCATTCACAAATCACAACCATCCCACTCTCACACACAAACAACCTTCTCATACTTTAGTACAAACCTCCAAACCAACTCACAACCAACCTTCAACACACTCAGCAACCATGGAGAAGATCAAGCAAGTCCTGTCTGGCCACAAGACCGACAACACCACGGGCACCACCCACAACACGGACACCACAGGTCACCACGGCACACATGGCCTCGACTCTGCGGATACGTCGACATACCGCTCCGAGCCTCTCGGCAACGAGAAGAGCCTGCACAACTCTGGTCACCAGACAGGAGGACTCTCCCATGGCGGACACGCTGGTGAAGGTCTGACTGGCAATGGCTTGTCGTCCAACAACAGCTCCGCCTACGACAACAACAGCTCTCTGGATCGTGGCATCACGGGCGGTCACCAGAGCACTGGCACTGGGCTCGGCAGCAGCGGAACAGGCATCGGCAGCACCGGTACCCACGGCCACCACGAGGGTCGCTTCGAGGAGAACCTTGCTCCTTCGCACGGCCTCACCTCTGGTACACACGACAGGTCTGCCATTGGCGGCTCCAACCAAGGCCTGACGGGCGGCAACAGCGGTTATGAGCAGG